TCTATACACCTTGCCCAGAATTTGCATTTTAAGCCCTAAAATCCATTAATTCAACTCAAATGCTTCATATTTCATCCTCTTTCATATTCTTTACTTACATATACATATTTGCCCTCATTTCTACTCAATAATCACTTCTTTAACCTCCATATCCTATTCTCCTTAAGAAATTCAAGAATCATACCCAAATTTTAGTATGTTACAAATCCAATTCTAATACTTCATACATATTAATTAGATTGATGACAAGTTAAATTCACTCTAAAACCTCATTAAAGAACCCTTTTTCAATATTTCACTTATTCCTCTCTCTTTTTTAATCCCCTCTATTCTCTTCATCTTATTGTTTCAAGATAATTTAAGCTCTTCTTATGCTTAATTATCACCTAATAATCAAAACTCAACCTTAAATTTTAGCTAATAATCAACAACTAAGAAATCTTACCTTTGCTATGGAGCTTACGAGGAGAAGAAGAAGAAGAAGAATGAAATAAGCTTCTAGATACTCTCCACCCATAAACTTATCTCTTTTAATAAGAGATAAATATCTTTTCCATAAAAAGACCATTATATCCAATACTGAAATATTCATACTTAAATCATTGAACTTTTTAATAATTTATACTTTTGTTACCAAATTTTTGAAACTTACAATTTGGTCACTAACCCATAATTTGGGATGTTACAGAATATGTCTATAACATGTAGCGACACTTGTTAAATTTGTGTCGATACTTTTTTCCAGAATGGATGTCAAAAAGGATGAACGCACAAAGTGTCGATACATTTATTAAAAGTGTTGATACCGAAAACATTGAAACCCATAATTATAATGTAATAGGTAATTTTGTAATATAATCAGTATAAATATATCGGTTTTATAAGAGAATAGGTATACAACATGTATCGACACTTTTTAAATAAACCCCAGGTTTTTTTGGCTATGTTGTCAACATGATTAACCTGGATAATCCCAGTTATAGAACTGGTTCCGGCCATGATTGCGGGAGACTATACTCTACAGATTGTTTGGCATTTATGTGATGATGCGGATGAAATATTAAACGATCTCGTAATCCACAATAAAAATAGACTAAGAGAGTAAATTTTGTAAATATAGGGTTAATTTTGTATAATTTACATTAGACTAATAGACTAACGATTCCTAACATGTACAACTGATATTTTCGTAATCCTCAATTGGTTGTTGTACGTGTTTCTTATACACAATATGAGTCATGTTGACACTTACGATATATGGAGATCGTTGTCATTTCATTCCGTCTTCGAAAAATCAGTTGATGTAGGCAGTGTGCTTGTACTCAAACTGAGCTTGACTTGAGGACATGTTAGTTTGTTATGTCCCTCATCGTTGGAGTACCCACGTCGCCTAATTTTCTTCTCGACCTTGTTCTTCGGTACTTCTTTTCGCTTGCGTTATTTTCGTTGAGGGTCACGAACATTGTTTACTACAATGCTCTGGTTGACTGAATCATTCAAACCAAACGAGTTTTCTAATTCTTCTATTTGTCTTTTCATCTCATCTCTTGCAGTTTTGAAAGACTCGTCTGTCTTTGATGCAATGTAGCATAACCTACTTGACTTTGAACGTAGAGTAGCGAACTGTGCCATTTGCATCACTTCTGGAGACACATTCAAGTCAACATAACTGGGTGCAGAAGCTTTCACATCATTAGTCCACCTACTTTGAATCAAAGTCCCGAGCAAATATGTGTAATCCAAGTGCTTCAAAATGTGAAGTTGATGGCGACACGGAAGTCCAACAGTCTCAAATTTTTTGCAGGAGCAAATTAGGGTTTTCGTACGAGAATCAAAACTAATTTCAAATTTCCTATTTTTTCTTTGTACTTTGACAAAATATAATATTGACATTCATCTGATAAGGACTGAATCTCTGCCTCAATCCGGTATAATGTCTCCCTTAGAAGTTCATCTTGGAACGCATGAAAAGATTCGATGGGTAAAAATCGCAGCAGCATGGCTTTCAAGGTCGACCAGTTTTATGATTTGGAAGGGCTTCGTATGGGAACTTAAGTAATCCGCTTTCAACTCGTTCATACGCATTCTACTAATTCCATCTTCAATTGCACGAACAATATCTAAATATGTCTTCTTGTGTTTCAGTGCAATCGCTAGTGAAGCATTCATAGACTCACACCTTTGTGTTGAGTGAATATTGGCAAAGAAATGATTGGTTAGATATGTTTGTGCCCATAAGTGTCGTGTATTTCCCTTCTCAATCACCCATGGATGCTTTTCGACATTGAATTCTGAAACAACCGAACGCCATTGAATATTAAATTCCTCGGTTGTCCACCAGGAAGCCATGCATTTTGAGAATGTTACTGTAAATTTTGGGTCACCAATGTTAGCTTGTGCATTGCGAGAAAGATGCCAAGAACATAATATGTGCTTAGCATAAGGGATAATAGATTTGATAGCCCTCTGTATTGCCCTATCCCCATCGGTGACAACTAAAATATGTGATTTATTCATCATGGCTTCTAAAAAATTATGTAGCACCCACTCGAAATATTGAGACGTCTCGTTAGCGATTATAACAGTGGCAAACACAATTGTGTTATGGTGATGATTGACATCGACAATATGCATAATTGGTCGACCATACAAATTATCTTTGTACGTTGTGTCGAACGCAATTACATCACCGAATCATGTGTAATCTGATCTCGATGTAGAATCCGACCAAATAAGATTATACAATGCCCCTGATTCGTCTACCGAGTATGTCATAAAAAACCCGGGATCATCATGTTTCTTATAATTAAAGTAGGCAATAAGCGCATTCACATCCCCATCGACGATTTTCTTTGCTTTACCTCTTTGAAGTGCATTGTAGAGGTCTTTATGTGTAAATCCAACATTTTGATAGCACCATGCCTATTGCGTTAAATAGTTCATTACTTGTTACGTACTAACACCGACCTCTTTCAATATTGTTGCCTCATCGATATCAGCCTTACTTACAGCTCTATTAGAACGCATAAATGGTGTCATAGCAGGTGTGCACAATGCATGATTATGTTTATGATAAGACTTACTTATAACCCAGTGATCGTTTGTATTTGTTGTTGTAACTACAACTCTAGCCTTACATCATGTTCTTATGACTGGCGTATGAGCACATTGACGATCTACAGTATTGACTTTTGATTCTCGAAACCCTTTTTTGGAACAACAAAATTCTTGTGTCTTCACATTCTCTTCCACGTCAAGCCGTGTTGTTCCCTTACGTGCACTAAACCCATGTTCCCGTGTGAATCCCTTGTAAAAGTACCAAGCTTGATCACATGAACAGAATAGCTGACCAACCAATCTGTCAGATTCATCAACATTATGTACTTCATGACATTCCTCGGTTTACTTAACATTGTCTGCATCAGTATGATCCATTGCAAAAATTTTGTTGTGCAAGTTCAGTGGTCCCGGAGTTGATGGAGATGTAAGCAAAGGTTCATTGAACATGTTTCAGTCGTGCTGTTTTCAATAGGATGTGGTATTGGTATTGGTAGTGGTAGTTAAAGGGTGGATACAACATTAAATTCGCAGTACATATTTAAATATGTACAATAACTACCTAAATATGTGTCGATACATTTTCTACAAATATCGACCCAAAAAATATCAAAACCAATAATTATAATGTAATAGGTAAATTAATAATATAATCGGTATAAATATACCGGTTTTATGAGAAAATAGGTCAGCATCATGTATCGACACTTGTGGAATTTGTGTCGATACTTATTGTCCAGAATGAATGCCCAAACGAGGTGCACGCATAAAGTGTCGATACATTTATTAAAAGTATCGATCCCAAAAACATCGAAACTGATAATTATAATGTAATAGGTAAATTTACAATGTAACCGATATAAATATACCTGTTTTATGAGAAAATAGGTCAGCATCAAGTATCGACACTTGTTAAATTTGTGTTGATACATTTTGTCCATAATGAATGCCCAACGAGGTGCAAGAATAAAGTGTCGATACATGTAAAATTGTATCGATCCCAAAAACATCGAAACAAAAATTACAATGTGATAGGTAAATTTACAATGTACATGGTATAAATGTACCGGTTTTATGAGAAAATAAGCCTAAATAATGTATCTATACTTTTTCCAGAATGAAATAAGAATGCCCAACGAGGTGCAAGCATAAAGTGTCGATACACTTAAAATTGTATCGATCCAAAAAACATTGAAACCAATAATTATAATGTAATATGTAAATTTGCAATGTTACCGGTATAAATATACCAGTTTACTTCGAAAATTGGTCAATATAAGTGCTACCTATTACATTATATAAAAGCTACCTAATATGTTATTGTACTTGATAATATTTCTGGTTAAATGCCTATTTTATTATATAAGCGCTACCTATTACATTATATAAACGCTACCTAATATGTTATTGTACTTAATAATATTTCCGGTTAAAGGATATAACATAACCGATCTAAATTTTAACCGGTCACGCCTTTTTTTAACCGACGCACAGTAAAACTTCCCGCTAATGTGTCTTTAATCTTACATTTTTATTTTATTTTGTAATAAAACAAATTTTAGCACCTAATTAATAGTTTGTTCTAATTTGGTCCCTAAATATATTTTGAACCACATCAATATTTGAACTTAGATTTTTTTTATACCTATTTTTAGTGTTTTGATGGTGTCATAATCTGGTAGTGTGTCACTGGCACAATCTAAAAGTATCACACCTTAACAAGATTAAAAATGAAAAAAAAGTGGCAGGACTAATATAGAACAAAAATAAATTCAGGTACCAAACTGAAGAAAGTTATCATGTTTAGACACTAAAAGTTATTTTATCCTTTCATTTTTGTTGAATATTTTGATTGACAGAGTTGATTGCATTGCCTGCTCTTTAGCTCTGCTGTCTTCCCTAGCCAAGAAGAGTCTCTCTCTCTCTCTCTGTTCTCATCAAAATTCAATGTTTCAAACATAGCTTAGTTGACCAAACACGAGCCAACTCGGTCCAAGCCTCCCCCTTTTGTTTGTCCCATAGTCATAGCCTCCTCAAAGCTTGAAACTTTCATCCCTATTTATTTAATTTTTTCCATTTTCCAATATAAATCCTTCATTTTTACAATCACGAGCTCAAAGTTTGATTCCTTTTTCATCAAAGATCACTCAGTAGATTCCTCAGTCCCTGTCAGTTTACCCATCCTGAAATCTGGGTATCTTTCTTTCTACCTTAATTCTACCAAATCACTGAATTCTGATCCTGTTTCTGAATCTGGATCTCTTTTGTTTTATTTCCCACTAGATCAACCAGATGGGTTCTTGTCTGACGAAAAACAAAGACTCAAAGCCAGCGCAGAATGGGTACGGATCAGGCGCCGCCGCCACCACTTCAGCCGCCGTGCATGAACAAAGATACCTGGAGCCAGCTAGGCCTGCGCCGGCTCAGCCGCAATTCCACCACATCCCCGAAAAGCCAGGCACTCAAGCGCCATGGAAGCCAGTGGCTCAAGCCCCTAGCCCCAAGCCTGCGCCGAGAGTCGACACCATTCTCGTCAAGCCATTTGAAGAGATAAGGAATCACTATGCAATCGGTAAAGAATTGGGGAAAGGCCAGTTCGGTGTGACTTATCTTTGCACCGAGAATTCGACCGGGAAGCAATACGCCTGCAAGACGATATCGAAGAGGAAATTAGTCACAAAGAATGATAAGGAGGACATGAGAAGGGAGATTCAGATTATGCAGCATTTGAGTGGACAGCCTAATATCGTGGAGTTCAAAGGTGCATACGAGGATAAGTTATCTGTTCACCTCGTGATGGAATTGTGTGCTGGTGGTGAGTTGTTTGATAGGATTATTGCCAAGGGTCATTATAGTGAAAGAGCAGCTGCTTCTGTATGTAGATCGATTGTGAATGTTGTCCATGCTTGCCATTTCATGGGAGTGATGCATAGGGACCTTAAGCCTGAGAATTTCTTATTGTCTAGCAAGGGTGAGAATGCCCTTTTGAAGGCCACCGATTTCGGGTTGTCCGTGTTCATCGAAGAAGGTAAATTTGATGCAGATTCCTGTTGCTTTTACTATGTTGTGCTTGTGGATCTTTATGGTGTACATGTGAATTGTTTATTTGACCTTAACCACTTGCTCTTGAATGATTCTAAGCTCTTTTTCAGAACCCTTAAGTGATATTATGAATATTGAAAGAAGAACGAGTCAATTCAAGTCGAATCAAATTGTGAAATAATGTGGTTTGGTTGTCGTTTGGTACTAATTAAGATGGCAAGTCATCTTCCCCAACTGGTTTGACCAGGATCTTTTGATTCATTGTCTTAATCTGCATTCACAATCAGTTTAATTATGATATGATTTGTGAGTGTGCATATGTTTTGTCTTTTCGTATCCTTCATGTCTGTTTTAGTGTTCACGTTCAGTATTCATGGAATAAGTTCCAAATGCCATCTCTTTGTGTTTAGAAGTTGGAAAAGGTGAGCAGTCTAATGTTCATGCTATTTTCAGCAGTGAATTAGTTTCAACTATGCGTAAAGGAAGGAAAACTTACAGCTTCTAGTCTTCTACTATCTCGGCTTCATTTAAACTGACTCGAAAGAAGAAGAAAAAACTTTATTTACATGATGGTGGGACTTTATTCTGTAACTGTGTGGAAGTTGCAAATATACATCCACATAATATGTACTCTGCATGGCAATAATTGTATGTTCATGTGTAAGATAACCATTGTTGTTCTTTCCTGATTGTTCTTGGTACCTTTTGCAGGAAAGGTGTATCGGGATATAGTTGGGAGTGCATACTATGTTGCTCCTGAAGTATTGCGACGTAGATACGGAAAGGAGATCGATATTTGGAGTGCAGGAATTATTTTGTATATCTTACTCAGTGGTGTCCCTCCATTTTGGGCAGGTAAAAGTTCAAAGCTTGATTAAGGAAAATAATGTCATCAATTCTCAAAACTTATAGTTGGCACTTCACTATATTACCTTCAAAACTGTTACTTCAATGTTAATAAATAACTTAAATGAATGATTTTCGCTGCAGAAACGGAGAAGGGGATATTTGATGCTATTTTGGAAGGAGAAATTGATTTCGAATCTGAACCATGGCCATCTATTTCAGACAGTGCCAAGGACCTAGTCCGCAGGATGTTAACGCAGGATCCGAAAAAGCGGATTACTTCTACTCAAGTCCTTGGTAGTTACTTATAGTACTTATCCTTTTTAATGTCTGGGAATCTGTATAAGTAATTAATCTCTGGAAATAGGTTCAGAGATTCATATTTTAACCGTTCATTCTATCTTCATCTGCTATGCATATGGGAATTCCATCATGTATGTGTTATAAGGAGAACTGGTTTAAGATTCTTAGTTACATCCTATATGTGCGTATGTGTTTTATTCTGGTACGTTGTGTTTGGCTTACGGTTTTGTGTAATTCATGTCAAGCCGAACCAAAGATTGAAATTATGTGGTTTATGCAGAGCATCCATGGATAAGAGAGGGTGGAAATGCATCAGACAAGCCACTAGACAGTGCAGTCCTCTCGAGAATGAAGCAATTCAGAAGAATGAACAAACTAAAGCAACTTGCCTTAAAGGTAAGTTCAAAATTATTTATACGGTATAGTTGTTTTCCGAAATTTGTAGCCACAAGATGCTTGTTATTTGATATCCAGTAGCAAACCAGGTAGTAATCATTTTACTATCTCGGTTTTCCGTCAGTAATGTAACTTTACATGCCCCTGGTGGATTATAGGTCATTGCTGAAAATCTTTCCAGCGAAGAAATCCAGGGTCTGAAGCAAATGTTTGCAAACATCGACACCGACAACAGCGGCACGATCACCTATGAGGAACTTAAGACTGGATTAGCTCGACTTGGATCAAAGCTCACGGAGACTGAGGTTCAGCAGCTAATGGAAGCCGTAAGATATTAATTAGATCTATAATAGGCCTATCTTTTTCAATTTGTATGATATCTACTAACCCTTGGTTTTACTTGTTGCAGGCTGATGTGGATGGAAATGGTTCTATCGACTATATTGAATTTATCACTGCTACAATGCATAGACATAGGCTTGAAAGAGACGAACATCTTTACAAAGCTTTTCAACATTTTGATAAGGACAACAGTGGGTAAGTTTTTTTTTGTCGTAGCACTAAAGATAATTGTACCGTTCTTTTTCCATGCCGGTTGTGTTATTGGTCTTGTCTTTGCATATTGAATTCTGCTTTAGTTTGATTATAAACATGCTAGTAATTGCAACATGATTTTAGGATATTAGTCCCTTAAATTCTGAGTTTCATCTGCAGTATATAAGAATTGGCTGATCTGAATCAGTCGCACCGATGACATGAATTAACCATTAAATATGGAAGGGGTGAATAACTTGTTTGTCAATATTTTTGCAGCTATATCACAAGAGATGAGCTAGAAGCAGCCATGAAAGAATATGGAATGGGTGATGACGACACAATCAAGGAAATAATATCCGAAGTTGATACCGACAACGTAAGCCCTCCATTTCTCTCCCTTCTGAAACACACTTCCTTGTATCATGATGCATTGGTTCACACTTATTGCCTTGTTTACAGGATGGTAAAATCAACTACGAGGAGTTCCGCAACATGATGCGAAGCGGAACCCAACACACACCACTCTTTTAGGTTTTATGCATGACTGGACTTGCAGGAATCAGCGAAAAAGTTTCCCAAATGTAGTGCACAATGGCTCTAAAGATGTTCTAGGACTTCATTACTTGACTTTTTGTGGTTTTTGTTTTCCATTTCGAGTGTAATATATCACATATGGTTTCTAGTTTAAGTTTCGTGTTTCTGTGAATCTTGTTCATGATATATGATGGATTTTGAGAAGAGAGATTGGTTAATGTAGAATCTTCGCTTTGATTCTGGTTTTTGTTTAATGTAGAATCTTCGCTTCGATTCTGGTTTTTCCCAGAGATTGAAAAACTCAATCCTTGAATGCACTGAAATATTTGATCTGCACTTGTTGACAGTAAATATTGAACCAGCCCTAGAGTTTATTAACGGCCACCAAGGGCGGTAATAAGCAAACAAGACTAGAAATAACAAAGCACAACTCTATAGGTTTTATTTCATCTTATTAAAAAGTTCAACAGGTTCATAATTCTTTAAAAGCCATGAATCTTGATCTGATCTTTCTTCACGATGCCGGAATTAACAAGGAACTGCGACATGTTCTTGCGTTGATCGCCTTGGAGTTGAATGATCTTGCCGAGCTCCTTGTCCTTGACGACATTGACGTTGCAGCAAAAGTCCTTCAGACTCTTGAGGATCTTCTCGTATAGCTCAGATCATGTCTCAGTCCTTGAACCGTCGTCAAGCTTTTCTTGCCGTTGCGTTGCTGGATTCGGATATGAACATACTCTTTGGTCCCGGTGCCACCGAATTCCCCTGCCTCAGCGAGTGGATCAAATGTTGTAGGGATCTGGATGTCCAAATCAACCATGTACTTGGTTATGTTGGAACTTGAAAACGATTCGCGGAAGCTTGTTTTGCTTCTCGAGTACGAAGATTGCTGCAATAAATTCACAAACACGGCAAACAATATAAATAACGCGAAAATATTTTCTTTGATTATAAAGATGATATGATTCAACAATATACATTGCGTATGATCAACGAGAAGAAACTTCAAAAAAGAAACCTTCTTTCATGATTCGATGATTAAAAAAGAACACGGCAAACAAGAGAATTAAGTTAAGAAACGAAAAGGGTTTTTGGATATAAGAATCCGAACCTTGTTTGGAAACCAAGAAATTTTGTTTGATATTTGATACGATGAGAGGGGGGTGTTTATATAGGCAAAGCTGAGAGGCGGTTCAAGTAAGTTTAACTGCCGTTAATGTTTTGGGTTGGTTGGGTGGGAGTTGGATTAAGAATCTGGACACGTGGTTGATGGATATTGAATATTGAAAATAATAATTATGAATGTCATATTTCAATCCAAATAGAATTTTAGAGATTATGATTTTAAAAAACTCATAAAGACATAAAATTAAAATATAAAAAAAAAAACTAAATATACAAACGTAACAAAAATTAATGTTTTTTTAGTCTTTCACTCAACTTCCATGGAAAAGTTAACATTCATCACTGAAATTTTTATTGATTTTTAACGAGATTAAAATAAGAATAATGATAGAGAGAAATCAAAACCTTGACTTAGTAAAAAAATATAGATTGAATATATTTTTTTTTAAAAAAATCAAAAGTTCCATCAATTTTATAAATTATTCAATTGCAGTTCTGGTTATATAAAAGCACTATCATTAAAGAAGATCTATCATATTAAACCATTACTCTTTCTTGATCAGAATGTATATTATTATATTAATTGCTTTAGGAATAGGGGCGGAGCTAGAAAAATAATTTTGGACGTCAAATTTTGAAATTATATGGGGAAAAAATTAAGTGGAAAATTTGAATTTTAAAACTTTTAGGGTAAACTACTCGTTTAGTACTTAAACTATTAGTTTTGGTCTATTTTAGTACCTAAACTTTCAATTTTTTCAAAACCATACCTAACGTTTAGTTTTTGTTTCATTTTGTTATCTCGCGGTTAAAAACTTAACGCGTTTAGTACCTAAACTACCAGTTTTGGTCCATTTTAGTACCTATACTTTCAATTTTTTTCAAAACTTAACGTTAAGTTTTTAACAAGTACTAAAATGAAATAAAAACTAAATGTTAGGTATAATTTTAAAAAAATTAAAAGTTTAGGTACTAAAACGGACCAAAACTAATAGTTTAAATGCATAATTTATCCAAAATTTTATTGTTAAATATTTTTTAAAATATGTGATCATTTTCTTTTTAAAGGGTGTCAAAACCTTTCTAAAAAGGGTGTCATTATATATATATATATATAATTTATATGGGTAAAAAAAGTTTAGAAACTTTAGGGTGTAAATTGCTACTCCTTAATACATGTTGGCTCCGCCAGTGTTTAGGAATAATAAATATTATAAAGACAGATAAAAAGAATGTTATAGAGGTATATGATAATTGTAATGATGATGTGTGATAAGACAGAAATTCAAAATATAGAGAATTTTAATTTTAAAAAAATTAATTAAAAAACAGTTTTGAAAGTAACTATCTCCGAGAATTATCGATGATAACATAAAAATATTTATATTCGAAATAAGTGCTTGTGTTTAGAAATTTTTTAAAATATTTATGAAAGCCCATAATGGAAAATAGAAGAAAGGGAGAGAATCAAGAAAATGGAGGGAAGAAAAAAAAAGTGAAGTGGCTAAGTCCATACAAATCCATTGGGTTCTGTTTATTGGCAAGTTGGCCGCTCCTTTATCTACAAATTTGACCATATTGCCTGCTTCGTAAGTCTAGCGAGTCAGCTCAGCATCCCCGTTGCCTCCATCGGCCGCCCATCAGCCGTTTATGACCACCGCACAGCCTTTCATTAACAATCAATTTGTTGTTACCATAATATTTTCAGGAAGGTAAAAGTGACGACACAACACATGCTACGTGTTTAAAATAATAGTGTAGCACATGTCACATGTTTAAAAAGTGATAGTGTGACATTATCACACGTACAAAGTGATGCGTGATATTACCACATGTATATAGTGATGTAATATATGTCATGTATCTAAAATGACATGACATGTATGATTTGTTCAAAGTGATTATATAACATATGCTACATCAATTTTTTGAATACATATGGTCTTATTACTTATCACATCAACGAAAAACATTGATCATTAGCCAATTAACAATTTCTTTGGTAGGAGATTCTTGGGAGGAGCTCGATACCATGGACATTGGTCATGGTGCACAGTCTTTACGTTGGCTCGTGTGGGTAAGGACTTCCTCTTGTTTTCTTTTCATCTGGCTGAATCTGTGGGGGTCAGCCTTGTTAAGAAACCTTGCCACTTATTTTTTGCCAGCCGAAAATTGATGAAGACTCAATTGAGATGTTGCCTGCTGAATGCCACTGAGTTATCCATTGCTGAAAAATGTAGACTAGCCTTTGTGGAAAGAGCACACGGTTAGCTCCGAAGAGTGCAAAAATGCAAGACAGCATCAGCGTCGTTCAGAAAGGGAGTGGGTGAGGACAAGTACACGAGCAAAGGCATTAGCTTTGGCCTCACAAGCAACCAAATCGCTTCATGGTCGAAGCTGATGGTCAAAATATGTTAATGTGCAACACTAATAGAAAGTAAGTTTTCTCATTTTTCTCCTTTTCTTGGTTAAATGGAACCTGTAAAATACATGGAGTGCCGTTAAATTAGTGTAATTTGTTGAGTTTTCAATGCAAATGTTAATACTTCAGTTATAAAGCGTCGGGTTATGTGAACACGTCTATGGCATGTGATCGAGTCGATTAGAAGTCAAGTCGAAAGTCAGGTCGAAATTTGGCTTGAGCTCAATCAAGTTCCACTTTTGAAGTTGTCCATTCAAGATAAAAATCGAACTACTCAAAACTAGTTTGATTAAAAGTTCATTTTATTTAATAAAAGAGGAATTCGATTTTCGTGCTTGGCCAAAGTTTGATGACCTTGAAGCCCAGCAATGTTTGTCGTGATTAAGCAAGAGTTTGATCCACACTTTTAACTGAATTCGTTGAATCGGGTTGTTGACGTCTGCTCATTATGAACGTAGAGGCAAGAAAAAAGCGAATGTGATACCGGAGATGTGTATCATTCGTTATGTGAAGTTTGAACTAGAAATGGAGTCTTTTTGTAATGGACTTAATTGTTGAAAGTCAATTAAGGGGCTAAGGAAAGTCATTTAAGAGGGTTAAGGGGTACCGAATTTGGTGCATTTAATTTCTATTGAAAATGGAAATAGACAAATTGCAGTTTAGTCTTTGCACACTTTAGGGTATTTATAAGAGTAATTCTTAAGGTTCAACTACCCTAACCCATTTAGCTTCAAAATCATCTCAAATCATTTCTTTCCCCCAATACTAAAGAATTTAGAGAGTTCTTTTGTGAATTGTGAGTGTTTTGTAAACACTTGTAAATTTTTCTCTCTTTAGTAAAAGATTTGCAGCAGTCCGGAGTCGTACGCATAATTGGCTGAACTCCGTTATCAATTTCGGGTATTATTTTTTCCGCTTTTATTTCGTATTCTCACTTATCTGGTTATAGGGAAATTACTCGTTTATTTCCCAACAACTGGTATCAACAGCTTTTGGTTGTGAATTTTGTCAGTTTTTCCGCGAGGTTACTATTCACATTAATAGTGAATTTTGTAAACAGTAAAATTTGGTCGGCGATACGAATTTATCGATGAAGGTGTTCTAATACACGGTGGTTCGCAAGAATTGTCAGAAACGATCCAAAAGAAGCCAGATTCGAGTGGGAGCGATGGCATTGAGAAACGAAGTGGATGAGCTCAAGAGGAAGCTACTCATATGCAAGGGAGAAATGAGTGAATAGGGTGCGCTCAAGACCTTTTTGGAATGACTTAGACCAGGGGCGATGCTTGGGGGGAGAGCAAGGAGATGCCCAGAGACTTTCGAAAGACATAGTTGTAGCCGGAAAGTTGACTGAGCTTGTCGGAGACAAGTCATGTAGCGATGTATCGTCCAGGCTCATGCCCAGAGATAGTGGCAATAGTGGGGGAGACCGGGAAAAGGTGCAGCAGGGAGATGGTAGAGAAAGCTCTTCGAATGGCCAAGGTGAGCCATCGACTGTTCGTAGCCAAGGAAAGCCATCAGGAAAGAATGACAAGGCTAAGTCTGGTGTAAAGAAGAAGGGGGAGCAAGGAAAAATTGAAGTGATACTTCTGTGATGGTCCTCATTTGATTAGAGGATGTCCCGGGAAGCGTCGCCTTACAGCCATCTTGAAGAGGATGGAAGAAGGAGAAGTA